CCAAGAAGGCAAATGTTCAATCAAAATGCCTCCTGAGCAGTTCCCAAGGGAGCCAGCTGCCACCCACTGCTAAAGGAGGCTGCGTCTACAACATGACGTCAGCCACCCGAGATCTGTGGGGCACTTTATATGCCTCACCCAAGGCCACAAACAAGAAAGGGGTAAAGGGCTCCAAGTCAAGCTTCTTTTGATAACAACTGCTCCTTGACTTCTTCTAACCCTGAAGTCACTGTCCTGGGCACAGCACAATAGAGTACTCTGCCACGGCAAGACATTAGTTGCTGGTGGCTTGACACACTCAGACAGTTCTAAGAATCTTTCAATTGACCAACAGGTCTTTTCTAGAATGGACACCCCTCCCACCAAACACACATGGTCTGGTCAATACTCAACATTATAAAGTTGTTGCTTCCACCAGAATTGGCCACTAAATCCTTCCGATGATGATTCTTCACTAGGTGCAATTCTGTCCCCCATGGGACACTTGGCAATATCTGGAGACATTTTTGGTTGTCACAACTGGGAATAGGGGGTGCTACTGGCATCTGGTGGGTAGAAGCCAGGGACGGTGATAAATACTTTACAATGCACAAGACAGCCTCCCACAACAGAAAATTATCCAGTGCAAAATGTCAATAGTGCTGAGGTTAGAAAACTTGCTTCAGGTCAAAAGGTCATAAGCAAATGTTTTGAGATTCCTGGACTGACCCTGAGATGAAGAGCTCCATGAATCTGGAAAAAGTCAGCTATAATTGGATATTTAGGACCTTGTCTGTCATTCTGTTCTAGACTTTCTTCATAGTACCATACCACCTGACATTATAACGTATATTTAGTTTGTTTCCCTGACTGAGAGGTAAATTCCACGAAGGCAGGGACTCTGTTTCATGTGCTACTGTGTCCCCAGGGCCTAAAAATTGCACTTGGCAAATAGGAGACATTCAATAAATATTTGTGAAAGAAATGAGGAAACTCCTAAGAATATTAAAGAAAACAAAATATCAAACCTTTTTTTGGAGTTCCCATCATGATCATGCATGCTACACAAAGACCCCAAATCCATTCTCCCTCTCTTCCATTGTAACAGGTTTTAACTGCACACAATTGCATAAATATAAAAACTACATTTCCCAGCCTCCTTTGTGGTTCAGTGGGGTCACATGATGAGGCTCTGGCCAATGAGGTATTAGCTGAAGAGATATATGTGATTTCCAGGTTATTCCCTTAAGGGAAGGGGCATTCCTTCCTTCCTCTTCCTTCCACCCTCTCTTCCCATCCATCAGCCATCCTAGACAGTGGAGATGAGCACACCACCTTGAGAGTGGCAGAGTGATAAGACAGAAAGAGACTGGGTTCCTGGCACCATGGATCCAACATACCAGCCATGGACTGCTTATGCTTGTGCTGGTACATGAGAAAGAAATCATCTATCTTGTTAAAGCTACTGTTACTTTGGGTTTGGCTATAGCAGCCCTCTACATCCTAATTAATACATAACCCTCCTCTGCCCTCCAAACTCTAACTGTTCTTAAATCACATTTAAAGATTCCATACTGCTTCAAGGAATATTTCAGCCAGCACACATTCACGAGCTATTTTATGATTTCCCCTTTACACATGTAGGGGATGTAACCCTTGGTTTATATGTAGGATTCTTTCTTCCCTGAAGCCTCAAAATATCTGAGCACATTGGTAAGCCAGAGAAAGAAAGGAGAGGAAGTCATATTATTTAGATCCATCAAATGATAAGGACAAAAGGAACTAACAAAAAAAGCCCATTAAAATCTTAAAACATCAATTATGCTTAAACCCATGAGTTCATAATGGTACCAAGAAACAAAAAAAACCCACCAAGAAGCCAAGAACACAAATAACCCTAATTGATCACCACTGGAGGATATTAATGAACCAACCCATTATTTTGAAAAACTGGTAAACAAAGGGAAAGAATCAAGCATTCATCCTGCTTTTCCTATATGAATTCTGCCATTGTTGATGAAGGGAAGTTTCCCTTTATAGAAGTTTTCCAGCTAACAGAAGAGGAAGGGGTAGCAGAATTAGAATAGAATATCACCATCTTTCAATTAATGCACCACTGAATTAGAGGAGCTAGGCATTGACTACCAACAGCTACTCACATCACCAAAAGAAAAGCAACCTGACAACATGTACCTCCTGACAGAGGCAGCTATGAAGCAGTCCTGCCCAAAACAACTGAACCTGAATCAATTAAGCCTCTCAAATTGACTGCCGATTTAAAGGACCTACAGAGGACAGAAGAACATGCTAAGCCTCACCATGCGGTTGTAATTGGCAAAAGCCAGACTGGGAGAAACTTCACAGAATAACTTTTTTTTTTCAAGATATAAATTACAAAATAATACTAATGACTAAATCAAAAAAGTGTTTTACTATCTAACCCAGAGGAAGAACCTCTAGATTAAAACAGACTTAAAAACCAAGGCATCCAATTCACAATGCCTGGTATGAATCCTGATGCAAACAAACTATAAAATAATAAAAGAAAAAGAAGAAAAAACTTTTGTGATATTTATGAGGCAACTAGAAGTTTAAACACTAGATATTTCATGATATTATTAAAGAAGTATTAATTTTCGTGTGTGCTAGTGGTGTCGTATTTTCAGAGTCCTTTTCTTTTAGAGATACATACTGAATATTTATGCATGAAATGATATACATGCCTAGGAGTTGCTTCAAAATATCACTATGTAGCGGAGGTGATAGAGGATGGAGGAGATGGAGGTATAGAAGAAAACAAATTGGCCATGAGTTGACCGCAATTGAAGCTGAATAGTGGGTACATGGGGGTACGTTGTGCTGCTCTACTTTTATATATATTTGGAGTATTTTGTAATAAAAAGCTTTTAAAATCTTGCCCCCGTTTAAAAATCTTCCCCAGCCACAAGAAGGGGAAGAAAGACAGAGGGCGCTAACACTTTCGAAGCCCCCCACTGTGTGCAGGTCCTGGGTTAGGCAGCATCAGATGTGAGTGGCGCTTCTCTAATGGGTCACCAATTCAAACGCCTAATGGGTCCAGATAAGAACCTTGAATGAGTGAGATTGGTCAAGTACAAGGGGACCAGCAGAATAAGGGTGATAACGACGAACACTCCACCTATCGTCAGGAGACAAGAGGCAGCAGAGGCAGCGGTGAGGACTGTGGACGAGGGCAAGTCCATGCTCTGTGTGAAGGAGCGGTCTCTACTCAGAGTCGGCCTTGGCTTTGTCTCCAGGCAGCCACCATGCAGCACGAAGGGCCCAAGGTGGCCAGATCCTTGAATTTTCTAAGGCAAGCTGGAAATCTGTATTTTTAAGTGCAATCCCTTGGTTTTTCAATGTTGGCATCTAATCCAAATATTTTTTAAATACCACGTGGGCCAAACAAAATATCTGCAGGCTAAATGCAGCCCATGGAACACCAGTTGGCCGCCCCTTTTCCAAGTGCTAAAGCAGACCACAACTCAATCCATCTGTACAAAGTGGAAAGGGTGCTTTAATCAATCTTGGGTCAATTCTTTTTTAGGCATCCAAAAAGCTGAGAATTCATCAACTTCCAGAAATCTATAAGAACCGGCTGCGGAAAGTTTCAAAGGCGTCTTGCACACCATTGGCTTATGCAACAGAACCTCCGCTTGGTCCAGAGTTTTGGAAATTAAGAACCAGGGAGTGTCCTTTCAGTCTTCCTGGGATAGTGGAACTAACAGGCTTCATATGAAACCCATTTTGGGGTTTGCAGAATGTCTGGGACTCAAAGTCCAAACTGCTCACAACAGACAATCCTGACATAAAACCAAGTTGGGGTGCTCGACATTCATCATAAAATGGTCAGGGAGCTCTGTGCTTTGGTTGCCTTGCCAGAGATCTGATTTCATCGCAGTTTAAAGGGATGAGACAGATGTCATCCCCAAACCCGAAAATGGCAGGATCCGTTGCTGAGGACTGGAACAGACTCCTTCAAACTCAACCTTCAGTTTGTCTCTGACTGCACCTAGAAAAGGATTTCTTACACCGTGGATGAGCAAAACAGGCCCAGCCCTCCCTTTATAGACACACTCTCGACTTGACCAGATCCCCAAATCGGTAAAAAATTAAAGTGTCAAAAATGCAGTGGAGAAGAGCCAGATAAATGGTTTCATCATTCCCCAAGAACAAAGCCACTCCTTTTTTTTTTTTTTTTCTAAAAGGTTGAAAGGAAAAGAAAACTGGTGCTAAATAAAGCTGAATAGGTCCTGGAGCAAGAAGAGAGTCCAAAATTACAACTAAAGGCAACAAAAAATAAAATGCACCCAAATCTCAATTCTATAGAATGGAGTAAAACTACGGCTACTTCATAAAACAGAAGTGTGTGTGTGTGTGTGTGTGTGTGTGTGTGTGTGTGTCCGTTCTACGGCTACTTCATAAAACAGAAGTGTGTGTGTGTGTGTGTGTGTGTGTGTGTGTGTGTGTGTGTGTCCCCGTCCCCTGGGAAAACAAACTTTCTCATTTATCCAAAATAGGTTTCTTGATGGGGGAGGAGGTAGGGAGTACAGAGAAAAATCTAGTACACAAAATAAGTTTTGATTAACTGCCACCCACCTAGTTTATAGCCTCAAATAACTGCTTTTCAAGTTCTACTTTTCTAGAGAGAAACAAACTACAACTAGAGGTGACATTGGGAATGCCTATATATATTTTTTAATATAACACAATTTGGGATTATCTTGGGTTGTGGCCTGGGATGAGGAAGACCCAGCCCAGCCTGTGGCCCTGGGTGGGATGCTGCCAAAGACGATCACCCCAAGTTGCCGCACACTGTGAGATGAGCACATTCTCTGGCATATCCAGCACACCATGCTCACTGAGGCAGGGGAGGGAGTCTTAGCACCTCTGCACTGCATTCTAGTAAGAATGAAAGTACAGAGAAGGCCTTTGAAATTTTAAGTGCTCGCCTACTCATAAATCTTGCTAACCTGAGCACCTTATACCTCCTTCTTCACCAGGGATTCGCTTGCTACCACGAGAGAACAGCCTCACCGGGAGGTGAAAACCAAATGCAGCAACAATGACTCAAAATAATCAAAAGCACTGGTTCTGGTGGAGGACTGTGAGGCCGTCGAATGACACTGGATGATGTCTTTCCTGGTCCTCTTTACTGGAGCTGTCTGCTCGTTGTGGGTCAGATGCTGCTCTGGAATGTGGGCCGAGTGGACAGCAAGTCTGGGAATGAACTTTCTTGTGGTTTGGTGGCTTTTGACCTCCAAACGAAAGCGTACATTCCTTTGGAAACATCTGCTTTGCAGAATTTCATTAAAGATGGCTGAGCATTTCTGGGTCTGGAGTCGGCTGGAGGGTAGCTCTTACATAAACCAGTAATACAAAGTACACATCATTTGGGATAAAAGAACAACTAAGCGGCACAGGTGTATATTTGAGGTTCTTAGGAGGGGAGGAAGGGAACATCAAGAGGGGCAAAATAGAGATGCACTGGGGCAGATACCTACACGATATTTACCCTCCTGGGAGAGGGACACTGACCTGCTGCTCGCTCAATTAAGTGATCTTCAAACAGCAGCTCTTGCAAATTTTTTTTTTTTGTCAATATACAATGTAGTTAGTTATTGTGTCCCCTCACCAAAACCTCCCTCCCTCCTCCCTCTCCCCCCAGCTCTTGCAAATTTTGTGGGCACAACTAGAGGCAAGCACAGTTTTTTAGGCTTTGGAATTTTCTAATGAGATTCTAACTATCCTCTGCTGAATTAACAAGAGGTAACCAGACAGGATAATAAGAGTTCAGGCTAAGAGTCAGCTTCACGCTCTTCTTCAAAGAGCAGCTTTGCCTCTACTACCTGTATGGCCAGAACTGATGATGAGGTGATGAGATTGCTGGGGGTGGTGAGGGTGGAGGAAAAGTACATTACCAACTACTGAGTGCTTACCATGCATACTGGGTACTGGTTAAAGTGCTTTAAACGATGCTCCCATTTCTGTTCTTAAATAACTTGAGAGTTGGGGATCATTACCTTAAGTGATTCGCCCAGGGTTTCAGAAGAGTGAGGTAGTGGGACCCAATTGAAAGCCAGGCAGGACAACCACAGAAAGTCTATAACCCAGCAGGCCTAGAACCAAGGCTGGACCCTGGGACCAGCAATCTCATTTCTGAGAAGGGCCCCCCATTTTTTTGCATGATGAGTGTATATGACAATCTGTTCATAATAGCAAGTGATATCAAAGTTCCCATCCACAGGGGACCTGAGTGTATATTTTGCTACCTTTTATAGAAGAAAGGGGGAAAATAAGAATATGTATTTGCATCTGCTTATGATTACATAAAGAAACTCTAAAACATGCATTCTCAATGTAGATGACTGCCCTTAAGGGGGTAAAAATTAGTCTTGGGAGGAGAAAGGGATGAAAAAATCTTACATATTACAATGCTTTGTGGCTCTGCAAAGGGACTTTGTACATAAACAGATATACAGTACATCTATGGTACTGACATTTCATGGGGGTGGTGATTAGAAAAAGAAATTGTCTAAAAAGGCCTGGGTGTTGGGGAGTTGGCTATAATGAGAAAAAAAGGTTGAGAAATAATGTTCTAGAAGGCTAGAGAAAAACTAATATCAGAGGTCAGAGCAGAAATGGGAACAAGACTTCTGCTGGATATCTTTTTATAGTTTTTTTCCCAAACGTATGCACATATTGCCTTTATAAAATACATTTTAAATATATTTTTAAATGAACGTAAAAAGAATGCTGGCATAAGCCCTCAGCAGGGACCTGGCACAAGCCCTCAGCAGGGACCTGGCACAAATGGACGTGTATATTTTTAAATGAACGTAAAAAGAATGCTGGCATAAGCCCTCAGCAGGGACCTGGCACAAATGGACGTGTGAATTAAACTTGGTGTTGGTGGTTTCTAGTGGTTTTTGGTAGCCCCAAACAAAGACACCTGAATTGGCCTCTCTAGGTGCCCATGGCCTCTGGGCCGCTCAGCCAGGCAACCACCTTGCCTGGGTCTCATCAGAAGATGAGAAGCCCTGGCTTCACCTCCGTCAGCACCCAGAGACCCAGCCCTCAGGGAATAATATGATGGTGGGCACACGGCAGCCTTCAGTGGCAGCCAGGCTCTCCAGGGCTTCACACACCTCACCCCCTAGGAGCTGCTTAAGCACAGGTTTGCCGTGGGCCCTGAGTGGCCCCAGTGAAAGAGCCCCACCCTACCCAACAAAGCGGGGCCACTTACAGAATGCTTTTTCATCCCTTGGTTCCTTTCCTCACTTCCTGTTTTTCAGAGGGTGTGTCTCTCTGTTCATTCTTCCCTGCCTGCTTCTCATGCACTGGCACATGCAGCTTCTGGGTAAGGAGCCTTTTCAAAGGATGCCCTTGGCCCCTCTGTCAATGGCACAACTCGCAAACTTGGCCACTGGCCCACACTCCACCAGGGAGCCCACAGCAAGGGATGAACTAATTTAAGTTCTCAGTGGGCAAGGGCACCATCCCCTTGTGCAAATAAGCATCCTGAGGTCCCCGGAGGAAGCTGGGGGAGGGAGTCCCCACCACTAAAACCCACAGTTCTACCCACATGGAAGACACAGGGCATAAGAGTGAGTGATCCCATCTCCAAAGACCAGAATTACCAATTGTTTTTCTCCTATACCAATGTATTTTTAAAAGTTGAACTATGTCCTACAAGAAGACAAGGCATTAAATTCACAAACAAATAAAAACAGCAGCTACCATTTATCAAGGATTCCTTTGTGCCAAGCACAAAGCAAATAATGTGCATTAACCCATTTCATTCTCAGCAGAGCCCTAGGACAGAGGAACTAAGATCATCTCCATTTTATAGATGGGGAAACAGAGGCACAAGGAGGCTCATAACTAGCCCTAGGCCACACAGTCAGCTAGCGTCCTCTGTCTGATGGCGACATTCTGAGTAAATACTGAGAACTGGGAACACGGCAGAGGGAAGATGAAAACAAGAGCAGAGAGAGAAAAGAAAATGCATCACAGCAGCCACCGCGTCATTCACGTCTATGCAGCTGGCCTGAACCTCTGCTCCGTGCCACTAGCTGTCCCCAGCAGTTGCTCCATAGAGGATTCCACATGGAAGTGGTGGGGTCAGCTCTTCCAAATGCCCCAAGTGGCTCTGCCGTGCGACCTTCATGTTCGAAGGGATGCTTGGGATTGTTTTTGCCCCGAGGTGAACAGAACTCCTAGACTGCCTCTTTGCTGCCCCAAAACCAGTCACTGAGAGTTCCAGATCGGTTCTTTCTTGTTAAATAAAGAAGGCCAAAGTGTTTAAGTGGCCAAAATAAAGGTAAGACTGTAGAAGGCACTACAAGAAACTTCATGATAAGCAGGCCGATTGTTGTCATCATGATTTTTATTAAGGATGTAAATATATCAATTGTTGAACATCTTTTATGAGCCGTATGTCCTTTGCTGGCAACTCCAAGTTCAGCTTTTAATGCATCTTTAGCAGTTTGGGAGTATGAGTGGGAGAGGTATCTTTCACGGGTGAGAAAACGGAGGCTCAGAGTTTAAGTAGCTGGCCCAAGCAGGGGTTGGAGCGGGTGACACCCAAACATCTTGCTCCCCCTGAGTCTGGCCTCTCAGATCCCTCGTAACTAGACACATGCGTTGGAAGTGGGGGCTGGACCCATGTTCAGAAGATATAATATGAACTACAGTTAAAACTACTTCATACAACTCCTGTGCACTGCCTTGGGTGTATAAACAAAGCAATTGGAAAACTGTCTGGGAGGGGCTCCACTCCTGACCACAAACTCAACAGAAATGTTTTTGTGTGGGCACCAAACAAATAGTTCATAAAGTTTTATTCATAAAACTGGAAACAACCCAAATGTCCATCAGCAGAAACATGCATAAAAGATTGTAGGATATTCCATCAATGGAATAATCCACCACAACACAAACAAATGAACCTCGACTACACTCAACATTATGGACAAATCTCACAACCTCGCCAGGGACAGAAAGAAGCCAGACACAAAAGAGTACTACCATATGACTTGTTTGCACAAAATGGCAAAACGAATCTCTGTAGTCACCTTTGTGGAAGGAACGGAAGGACATTTGGAGGCTTCTGAGATTCTGTCATGATCCAGGTGGTAATTATGTGGGTGACCCACTTGTGAAATATACAGGGTATTCTACTGATTTCTGAATGTGCACATATTTCAATATTTAAGTACAAAAAGAAATATTCAAATTCATTCAATCAATATATTTCAAGTACTTCATATGAAGAATAGAGCAGACGTAGATTTAAAAATGAGCAGATGGATTTGTGCTCTTTCTAAACACTCTCTTGTTTGCACAAAATGGCAAAACGAATCTCTGTAGTCACCTTTGTGGAAGGAACGGAAGGACATTTGGAGGCTTCTGAGATTCTGTCATGATCCAGGTGGTAATTATGTGGGTGACCCACTTGTGAAATATACAGGGTATTCTACTGATTTCTGAATGTGCACATATTTCAATATTTAAGTACAAAAAGAAATATTCAAATTCATTCAATCAATATATTTCAAGTACTTCATATGAAGAATAGAGCAGACGTAGATTTAAAAATGAGCAGATGGATTTGTGCTCTTTCTAAACACTCTCTCATACACCCCCCACCCACCCACCCACACACCCCATCTGTTGTCCTGGCAAGCCACTGGCAGGGGCTCCAGCCATTACTAGGCTACATCCTTTCTCCCCGGGACATTTCATGAATGGGGTCAAAGATCTCCTTTGAGTCCAAGGACACATCCCTGCCCTGGTCCTCTCATCTGTGACCGTGTCTTGAGGCTGCCGGGTGAGTTCACTACCACAAGCGCTGTGGTAGATTTGGTGGTGAGATGGCCCGATGACCTCCGAGCCCCCAGTTAAGCTGTGGCATTAACATGGCTCTGTGTCAACAAGGGTACCTGGTCAAAGTCACATCTGGGTCTACCTTCCCCAATGTCTCTCCCGCCTGCCTGTTTCCTGGGTGGCAAAACATGCAGCTGCCCTTCATTTCATTTTAAGAAGTAAGAACTCCTTGTGTACTGATCACATAATAATTTTGACAATTCCAATTACCCTAGTGAAAGAACGCATAAGGTCACCTTCTGTACGATCCACCACCCCGCCCATCACGTTACTACCCCGGCTTCACTCTTTTCACAGCTGGCTTTGTCTAAAAGTAAACCTTTTGTTCCTAAAAACATCAAATTGACTTGTCTCCCTCCTTCTAACTCTTGCCTCCCCATAGTCCATTTTTCAAAGTCAGCCACAGTGATCTTTTCAAAAAGTCAAATCACACTGCACTGC